TTTGTTTTTCAATTGTGTCCGGTTTTGCTTTATTTGATAGTGTATATTTATTTTTTGTAGGTAGTGCAGTAATCGTCCTAGCACAATTAATATTCTGATTGATTGTTGTTTGCTTAACGTCCAGTGGCAAATAATTTACGCATGTTCAGGACGAGAATAAATTAACTAAACAATTAATACAATTGGTACGACCTGCAATAGGGGGTCGACCTGGATGATAGGTTGAAATGTTGGAATGCCACTAGAAAATGAGGGTATATTGGATAGGAACAGAAATGTAGCCTTGTAACAAGCCACATACGGACCCCCAAAAGAGTTGTTGCAAGAGTTCTTAACGTGTAGAGAGCGTAGAACTCATTCTACACGAGGTATCGGATTTAACGTCCCCATTTGGACAGAACGTGGCTGCGTATTCATACATCCCACACAGCCAATGCAAACAGACGCCCCACTTTGGTTATAGTATTACTGTCGGTCGGAAGAAGATCAAAGGATGACCATATTTCTATACCACAATCAATCCTTGTGGTAACATTCTGACTCGTGCCTGTATTGTAAAAATATCCTTTACACATTCTGGTATTAAGAAGGGAAGTGAAAAGTGTCAATCAAAGATCAATCATTAAACAATAATAAAAACTAATGTTGAACATGACACAATGAAATGAATCCTAATTTATCACCCAATTATCTGAAAATCTACAACTTTCACACTTTTACATTCTGCCTTGTAGTTATTTGATATATATTACTAAACAACAACAAAATAGGTAGTAAACGTTTTCAAGCTAGTTCAACTAAATGGTGTTTCGATGTCAAAGAACAGGCAAAAAAAAAAAAATAAAAAAAAGTCTGCAAGTCGAATTTGTTTCAATTAAATGATATTTTTAATGACGACAAGCAGACGACAGAATAACTATAGTTTTTGGTGTAGATTTGTTTTCCCGTTGTTTTTCGTTTTGTTTCTTGTCCTGGCGGGGCTTTTCATAGCTGACTACAAAAATATACGGTGTGGGTTTTGTTCATTGTTAAAGTCCGTTCAGTGATCTATTGTTGCTTACAAGACTGTTGGATAGTTGTCTCATTAGCAATAATACCACATCTCCATATTTTTTTTCTAAAAGTATGTTTGTAGAGCACAAGTTTTTGTTTTCTGAAAGTTTTAAATTTCTGTATATTTGTCCCTAACACAAATATTAAGACGGTTCAAATTTATATTGTACATAAAAATAACAACAAAGACATAAATGCCTTATGTATATAGTATATTGACCTTTAAATGTCTTTTGGATTTTGTTTCGTTGGTCATTGTCGTGTCACATCCTTTTATGTATACTTTTATACGATAAATGAAACATATTTTTATTTTGACTTCAATCTTAATTGACAGTGATTGTCAGTTTGCCCACCAATAAAAACTGACCACCACGAAATAGCCAATAGTGCTGAAAGTGGCGTTAAACACCAATCAATCAATCAATCAATTATCTTTTATTATGAATTTTTTTCTTGAGAGAGAGAGAGAGAGAAAGCCAGACCGTTTAAATTTGAACACAGGCTTAATATGTTTATTATCATAAATCGACAACAGCAATTCCTTAAAAAAGTTCATCTCAAAAAAGAACTAAATTCATAATTATGTTTATCATCAGTCGTTCAAAATTACATATTTATATGTAGTATTTATAATGTTGTTACTGTCGTCAACAATGAACACAAGAAATTATTTTCTTATAGATTGTTGTGCCTAATTTAAAAGCATTTGATATTGACTAATTACCAATAAAGGAATTTATGTTGTGGGCGAGACTGTATCACATAAAATACCCTGATTGACCATATGACACATTAGGAAGTGTTGTATTTCTCTATACTTTTAGTCGAGACGAAGAAAACACAATATATTGTCCTAAAAAAATCTTTAATTACTTATACTTTATCATTTTAGGCATTTTTTTTTCTTTGTTTCTTTTTTTTTTTTTTTTTTTTGTATTTTTATAATAATAATTTCAAAACTTTATTGAAAACTGTACATTTATTAGTTAGATACTGGAAGTACCGAACCCTTATCCCGGCCTTTATAACTAGAATATATAATGTTATCAATAAATTTGGGTTAATACTTGCTAGTTGTTTAAATTCTTTTAAACATTACATTACTAAACTATAATTTACACAAAATCTTTCAATTTAAAGACGAATAAAAAATTAAAAGATTTTTTTAAAGGTTTTTCGCAAAAGCATTTATTCAAAGAGAAATATGTCTTAACTACAGCATCAATAATTGCTGACATGGATGTTTTTCTTTTGTATGAATTAAAAGAAATGTTGGGTATAAGTCAATGAGACATCAACCCAACGACAACAATAATCAAAAGACATCTACAAGCCAAAATAAGTTTTTAACAATAGACAGGAACCTGTTTATCTTAGTGTTTTAAGATCGGTCCTAATAAATTCTGTACATTTCGTTTTTTTATTTGTTTTTTTTTTCTGTTTTGGTATCTTTTTTTTATCATAAGTAGTATACTTATTTATCGTATTGTTATTCTTATAACAGTTTTTTTAGTGTTAGAATATAAATAATATACTTTCCCTTTATACATGTATATAATTATAAATTCACAAGTTTATTGTATATCTACATATATATATATATATATATTAAATTAGTAGCATAAAATGGTCTTTGGATGATCCAACTTAGGACCATCCTAACCATCCTTAGCAAGTCCTAAGACATGCTTACACTCTCCTGGATGAAGTTGAAAAGAAAAATCTTTTTTTAACTTTTCAGTGTACTTTCTAATGTTGCAACTAATTGTGCATAAAAGAGGGTTTGAAATATAAACTAAGCATACAAAAATTATATTCTAAAGGAAAGACCATCTTAAGACATCTTAATTAATGTCGTAAACTTAAAACAATTTTAGGAGACATCTTAAATTGCAACATGTTTGATAAACCCACTTGTGTGTAGTGTACTAAGATGGTATTAAGACATGTCCTAGTCCTAAAACTGTTTTGATAAACAGGCCCATTTCCATAGTTAGTACCAAGAATAGAAGTATTGGTTAAAACCGTCGCTACCACAATACGATCATGGAGCAAATAGTTATGAACGCATAAAGCCAAATCAACAAACAAACAAACAAACAATGTGAAAAATAGAAAACAAAACTGTTTAACTACGTACATATAGAATATGTGGTGATTTGGATAAGGAAAATAATTCAAAACTGAGTGCAACTGAATGGTGATATTATTTTTTTTATAGAATTGTTCTATATTTAGGCAGCAGATTTTGGCCATGTGAAGTGGCTTGATTTTAATAAATAATCTTATTTTCTATAAATTGATTTTCAAGAGAAAATGTTCGAGTCCTGTAGAAATTAAATGGTTTTGTTCTTTATATAGAGATTATTAAGTTTATTATGAAGGAATATTTTAACTTTTTATTGATCGTCTTGTGGTAGCGTCGGTCGTGTCGAGCGGGAATGGTCGTTGCTGTAATCTCTGGTCAGTCCAAGCAATACTTTTATTATCATAAAATATTAACTGCTTCCCTGTCAATGAAATATCCGTTATAGATAAGAGAAAAGACTTGAATAAGAAAACTTGAAAAAAATTTCTGTATCTTCTGAAATATCTTCATGCAGACTGCATGTCAGACAAAGACTAACAAAAATCTACAAACCACAACATAAAAAACTAAAAATATGAGAAACGCGACAATAAAAAAAACCGGGGGTGATCTTAGGTGTTAATTAAAACTTTTAATATTTTGGTGAGTAAAAAATGTGATTGAATTGCATTTTTAAAGGTTAAAGAAAACCAAATACTTTTTAATTGTATTTCCTTTTCCGCCAAAAATTAATAAACAAAATAAGAAAGTTTTGCCGGTTTTCATTTTGTTAATACCGACATTTTTTTGCTTATTTATTTGGGGTCTTTTTCTGTGTTTCCCTGATGCTTGGGTAAACTAAATTAGTACCGCAGACCGATAAAAAAATGTTTAAATGTAAAACGATAAAGTTGAAACAAATTGAATGATCTTCTAAATAGAATGATAGTAAATGTTGGTAAAAACTGTAAAGGTATTGAATAAATGACTAACTATCACCATAAACCCCCTCGTTCACCTTTATTCGTGTTCAAATTATGAGAGGTGTTAGATTTTTTGACAATGTTTTTTATCCGAAAAGCGAACGGTCTTTTTTTTAATTGTTCTATTGTAGATAGTGCCTATACCCTCACATAATAGTCAATAGTTAACTCGAATAATACAGCGCCCTCTTAGAGAGGATTGATTGTAGTGAGCGAAATATACCGACTGAATTATTCGGGTTAAGTCAATAGGTTCATCCTGTAGATGTTCCACCGAGGCGAAGGGAAGTAAAAAGTGTCAATCAAATACCAATGATCCAAAAACATTAAAACAATGTAAAACATGACACTATCGTAATTAATCACTTATAATTATCAGAAAATCTACAAGATTCACACTTCTTTATCTCTGCCTTTGAGCAAATTTGAAATGTTATATGAAAATAATAAAAAAAAAAAAAGGCTTTTAACTGCAAACGCATTTTTATAAATTAGAAGAGGCACAATTGATGCTATGCAAACTGTCCCAAATTAATAAGCGCAATCGTAGTTATTTATTTCACCATTATGAACTTTAATATATTTTAAAAACATGATTTTAATGTGATTAAAACATCCTTTTGAAAACTGTGTATTTACATTTTTAATAGTGAACCACTTTACTATATGCATATTGCAAAGAGAGAGGGGAGAAAGAAATAGAAAGACTAAAAACTATAACAAAATAAAAGAAAAGAAAAAAATATAAATGAAACCAAGTAAAAAATGGGATATATACGGTATCTTTAAAGGAAACAAATTTCGTAACGAAGTACCAACGATACTTTTAAATATATGTTTTGTAACATACCGCTCTATATTTAGTAGAAAACTAAGTTGTAAGATTATACAATGAACGGTGGATCTACATACGTACAAGTTGATTGATTGTTCTGACGACCAGTTTTGGTTTGTTGACGAGAATTGGCCATGGGCACTAACTATTAGTAAGTTCCGTGGGCAAAAATTGTCACTTCCGCAGTTTTCCTAATAAGACTGGTACAAATTCAAGTCTCGGTCACTCTGAAGAACATCGCAACAAGAAACAAGACACAAATTTCGAACAAGAACTTTTAATAAGAACAATAAGAAAGGACTATTTATATATACAAGTGCATGAAATAACATAAAAAAATGTGGAAAGTGTCTATTGTAATCGTTCTTGGTAAGTTATATGGTAGTTTTATTTTATCGATATAGTTCATACTGTACGGCAAATTGCGTTTTATTAATTTCACATAGCTGGAAAAAACTGATACTTTATTTGATTCATTAAAAATTTAAAAGAGGAAATATTAAGAAACTTTTGAAGAGAATTTTAAACCAATTCACGTACATACTGTATTTTTTTCTTTAAGTTAGCCGGTAGTTTTATTTATTTATATCGTTCATACGGTATAAAAATGTGATAATCTTAATTTCACGTATCTAGAATATTCAACATGGTTTGGGCTCAAATTAAATCTTAAAAAAGGAGATTAAATATTTGATGGAATTACAAGTTAAGTTAACTATTTACGGCAGTTTTTCTCTTCATAACGCTAACTAAAAAGAATAATGATAATAAAAGTATAATAAAAGTATGATAATAACAAAAGAATAATAATAATAAAAGTATAATAATAATAAAAGTATGATTATGCGAATTCCCGTCAAGTCGTGTTTCTGAAATAACTCATCTTCATCGGGTACTCTGAGACCAATAGTTCGGAGAATAATTCCATTATTAAAATATACTGAGTGAGGAAAGATTAGCAACAAAAATTTTTGATTTTATATTCGAGAAATAAAGTATACTTCTAATCATAACAATACAAACATTATTGTAACAAAGAATTATGTTGAATTTTTTGGATATTTTTAAAGGTTAAAGAATAACTTTGGTTATTATAATTTAGATTTTTTTATGTAAATATATGTTGCTTAACTTGTTTTACTCAGAATATATTTTAACAAAAACTTCTTCAAATCATTTTTGTTATTTAATACTGCGTATGAAGTGCTATCCTCTAAGTACTTAACATTTCCTTTTAAGTATCTTCGGGTCAGTGATGTGACTTTGTTAACTAAGTAGATCATTAATATCATTAACAAAATGAAAGATCTGAGAGATGCAAATACATGTATGTTATAAAATTTCACTTCAAGTATACAAGTCTGACAAATGATATATACACTTTAGACTATGGATCTCGAAATTATTCTTTTCATATTTTTTGAAATGCGACACTCAAATAAACTCATTTGCTTTGCAACATGTATTTCCTAATCAAAAGAGACATGCTTTAAAACTGTGTTGAACGGACTAAATTATGAAGATTTTTTAGATTTGAAATTTGAAATTTGAGAGAGAATTGTTTATCAACCCAAAAGAGTTTATGAATATACTATGAGTTGGATTCCTATTACACAAGCAATTACATGTCTTATAATGTCTGCAGCAAGGGTTTGTACATGTATAGTGTATATTCACTATACAAAATCCTTTTCTGCAGTTAGTTAACTTTTTACTTCAAATATTTCTATTCTTCTGTCTCTTACAACCGTTAGGAATTTCATTTAATTTTTGGCCAGTTTGGCAAAAAATCGTATTATTTACCTTCATGATAAATCTTGTGTTTATACCTATCTATACTATCTATAATTAACAGTTTCTGAAGGGTTGAAAACTGTTTGAAAGTCTTGAAAACGCTGCGTTTATATTTATGGATATCACTGTTGATATTTACAAATTTATTTGACTAAATTTTATGTTAACTATTTAAAAATAAAATGTGTCTGGGAAAAACTAATTTTTTTTTTGGAAACGTCATAATTCAATGACTTATTGTTGTTAAATATATAATATAATGCACTTTTCGAATCTACCATTATGAGAACAAGTTAATTGTGTAACACGACATATTAATTGTAGCTAAACATGTAGCCATTCTGCTAACATGTTAAGATGGAATTTTCTTTAGCTTTCAATCCATACCATAATAGAGTAGACGAAATTTTTCCAATTTTCCCAGAATTTTTTTTATTATGTAACATCATTTTTGCTGGATACGGATCATAACGTTCTAGCTGCTTTTTATATGAAGACTTTATATATTATATACTTGTATTTCTGTTAACACATTTTTAATAAAGAAGTGAAAAAATATGATAAGTATACTAGAATTAAGTTAAATTTAAATTTGTTAAATGATTGTTTGTTGTTTAGCATTTACTGACAATGTCAATGCAAAAGACGAATATAAGTGAACAGTATTTAACGAACCTAACAGTATTATAAAAGAAAAATAGTAACAAAGACAGCTCCCCCACTTAAGCAAACTTTTATTGTAGTACAAAGAAATCTACGAGGCATAATAATATTTGAATTAAGAACTAATGGAAAATTTTATAAATATTCACATTTTCTATATAAATGTTTGTTTTTTTTAATTTTGTATAAGCTTGATCAATCTTTGTATTAACACGCAAGGTAAAGCTTTGCAAACGGTACAAGTTTACGTAAATCAGTCGCGACATCACGAGGCGCGTGTTCGCCACTTCCTAAACCAGTGACTTCCGGGTTGTCATGGAATAGAGACATCAAGTTGTCACTATACTTGTACAACTTGACCTGAAAATCGATGCATCAGTATTACTCATGATATTCACTTACAATTCAATAAAATTGTCAAATTAAGTACCACTTCGACTGATATGATTCTAAATCACTTCTCTCGTTCTCAGTTGGCCTTGAATGACCGAAAAACAATAAATTTTCCTATTATATCGTTCAGTCAGAGACTATAGATTATTAACTGTAATACATTTATCTACGTCTACTGTGCAACACTGTACTATTTTTTGTACTTTCCAAAGACATTAAGAAATATAAAGAATTTCCAAATACGATGTGTTGCTGATTAACATTTTGTTTTTATTTACTCACAGTATGTACTCCAGGTAAAAAGCAACTCTTGTATTTCTTTCTTAAATTGATTCAGTTAAAAAAAAGTCAATGAATAAATGTTATTGTATTTTGCAGGATTTTTTTTCGTTTTTGCTTCTGCACAACAGCAACAATTTAATTCCGCATGCTTAGCTGGTTTCGATAAAGCATTTCGAAACTGCTTCCAAACAAATGGAGGATTCACCTTGGATCTTGTATTCTCTATCATAACGAATGGATCGAGTGGCCCTTTACCACAGAATACCAATAAAGAACAGCTCGTAAAGAAAGTTTGCAGGTACGAATTAAGTTATATAAATAGGGTTTTAAAATGACAAAAACTAGTAGAGGGAAACAAACCATTTAATTTTCCTATTTGATAATATGAGTTCTCCAACAAAAAAAAACAAATAATTATGAAAATAATTCAAGTGGTAATATGTCGTCTTTGATTAAGCCTAAGGATTTTTTGTGTGTCTCTTAGACCGACTTGAGGAGTTCATTAACTTTTTATTTAGGTTAATGTCATATTCATTTAAGATATGACAGATATTGATAACCATTGGGTTATAATTTTGGTTCTGTTGAGATGAACAAATATATTTATTTCTTCTTCTACCTTTTACAGTTCTCGTGAATCTATCGGGAAGTGTGTTGGGCCGATTCCAGGATCATTGACCAGTCTAAAATGTACTGACCAAGAGACTCAGATGATGCAGAATACACTACAGAGTACAGGACGAGCTCTAGGTGGACTGTGCGATGGGGATGGTAATAAAATTTCATTTAACTACTGCTTTCCTTAGTATACTAGTTAGTCCCCAAGTATATCATCAACTGTGTTGTCAGTACTTCGGTACTGACATGATTTCTAACAAACTTTTTTTAATTTCACAGTTCATGAATTAAGAAACTTATATGGTTCCAAATCCCTCGGGCAAAGTTAACCTAAGATGAATTTGCTTATTATTTTTTCTATGTCCTTTTTGGTCATAGGTATTCACATGTTTAGGTCTTATAATCTTTTCAAATATTTTGGTTCGAGCGTTCTGTTGAAGGTATATCCAGGAAAGCGCTTCGAACGCACGAAATTAACACCGCTGTTTTCATATTCTCTCTTTTATTTTTTTTACACAATACGGGAATGCATGGCAATATTCCCCTCTAAACTATATTTATAACAAGTAGCCAATGAAAGACCATCAGTCCAAAATTAAATTTTATCACTAAAACTTTATTTTACAATTTTTGTTACGATTGTTGATTTTTGTTAGAAAAAGGCATCTAAAACATATATAACAATGAATAAAATGATATGTTAGAACGGCAAAAGTTCCAATGACAGCAACCCCATAGTGTTGTTTTAAACAAAAGAAGAAAACTAGAGGCTACCATACAATCTTCAACAATGGAAAAGATCAAAGTCATCACAAATTATGACAGGTTCTTACTGTTTTGATATTTCATTTTTTTACTAGTCAGATAAGTTTGAAATTAGCTTTAAACAATGCATATCTTTTTTCAGCCGGTGAAGGTCAAATGCCTCCATGTTTGGCTAAATTTGATAAGAAGTTCCGGGCCTGTATGACAGGGAAGAAGATAGTTGCTGAAAACTTTTTCAAATTGTTGTCCAATGTATCAGACGGTACTGGAATGACAATGCAACAACTTAAGAACACCACATGCAGGTTAGCAAAAAATATAAATTCAATTCAATTCAACTCAATATTTTATTTAAGTCTCATCTCTTAATAATATATAAAACAATATTTCATATAGTGTAAAATGTATAGATATAAAAAAGACAGCCATTCTGTACAGAATAATAAGAGACTATAACATTAAAACATTATAGAAATGTAGGGGGGGGCTAGGATGAAATTTGAAAAAAAAACGCAGGGCAGGAGTTTTGAGTAAAAAAAAGGCAGGATGAGCAACTTTGCAAAAATAAAAGCAGGCTGACAATTTATGTAAATAAAAAGTCAGGATAAACTATTAAAAAAGAAGGCAGAACCGAATAGAGTGAAAAATAAAAAGGCAGGACAGAGATTACAACTAAAAATAAAAAATGCAGGACAAAATCTTTCATCCTAGCCCCCATAAAAATCGAATGGTAGCTCCTTTAATCAATTTCCTGCAGCACGTCAGTCCAATTAAAATCATGATATATTTAAAAAATAATGTGAGGTAGTGAAATCAATATTCCTCAGTTGAAACAGCCTGGATCAGGTCTTTTTACCTCAGATTTCTAAACAGCCTGGATCAGGTATTTTTACCTCAGATTTCTAAACAGCCTGGATCAGGTCTTTTTACCTAAGATTTCTAAACAGCCTGGATCAGGTCTTTTTACCTCAGATTTCTTCTATTCCAAATATAAAAAACCTCCGGATGCGGGATTTTCTCGCTGCGTTGAAGACCCGTTGGTGGCCTTCGGCTGTTGTCTGCTCTTTGGTCGGGTTGTTGTCTCTTTGACATATTCCCCATTTCCATTTTCATTCTCAATTTTAATTTTACTTAGTAAATTAAAATGCAAATGAGGCTTAAAATATAGTTCTGTCTTCCTACCTACCTTAAATTTCCATGCCTACCCTAACAAAATTTATGGACTTTTTGGTTATGTACTGATAAACTGCAGACATTTTTCGTTACGCACCAAGTCCAAAACATTTCACTTTGTAGTCTATATTCCATTTTCTTTCATATCCCTCTTTTTCTGATTGAATCGTCGACTTATGAGATCCGCACTAAACATCAGTACACTATATATTGTTCTACTTGGGGGTTTTTTTTTGTGATTTAATTTGATTGAACTTTTCAGTACTTCAGTCTAAATGTATTTACTTCCTTGAAACCAACTTACATCAATTATAAAGACATCCCTTTATTAGATGTAAACTGTTTCCGCTAAAAGTAACCAGTTAAATGTGATTACTTGAAAAAGTCACAGATATTTATTTCTGGAAATTTTTCAATTATTTCCTTTAATCAGGATTTACTTTTAACTCTCATTAATTTTCTAACTTCTTTTTTATTACTCGTTTATTATCAGTTAAATTTCTGTTTAAGATTATGTAATTGTCCATTCAATATGTTGCACTGTCTTTTGTTTCCTGTTTCGAGTATATTTCTCCCTATTTATAGGCATAATCCTTTCAAAATGCCACGTGTAATATTCTTGGCGGAAAATATATTACATTTCAAAAATGTAATTTTATATGATGTATAATTTTAGATAAAAATTTTGCGTTTTGAAAGGATTTATTCCGTTGTTGATTTAAATTCTTTCGAAGTTTTCGTTAATACATACATGCATATACTTTCACATATAACATTTGTTCTTACTTCCTTTTTGCTTACCATTTCAGTTCAGGTATCCAACAGGTGATTGTACAGTGTGCCTCTGGAACTCTCCAGTCACTTACTACAAACAATGAGTGTACACAACAAGAGTCCTTCATGGTCGGCCAGACGCTTCAAAACATGATGGCAACTTATCAGAGCATTTGTAAGTTTGAGCACCTATCAGAAATCTTATGAATATCACTAATTCCCCAAAAGTTCTTAATATGTAAAGAAAAAAATTAAAAGGAAGCGTTTGACTTGAGATACACATTCATGGCTGCTCTTGTAGAGTTCACATCCTAATTTTACGGTGATGTTGATTATAGAGCAAATTTATATACGATTCATGTTAACTCATTGATTCTTTGAATAAACATATTCTTAAAGGTTATCAATTAAACACCATAGTAAAATGTATTTTTTTAATCGGTACTAACATATAAATACTTTATATAGCTTAATACACAGTATGGGTTTTGCTCATTGTTGAAGACCGTACGGTGACCTATACTTGCTTAAATCGACGTCATTTGCACTCTGATGGATAGTTGTCTCATTGGCAATCCAATCACTTCCCCTTATTCATGTATACATATTATAAGGAACTTTCCATTCTGAATCCGTTTACTAATTATGAATGAGCACTACAAATTTAACCTGCAATTAAAACGAACAAATATGTCATTCTGTGCACCACTCACTTATCCCTCTTATATATAGGCACAGGAAAACCTATCATTGGACCAGGAGGGGCACCATCCGAATGTATCATAAAATTTGAAACAGATTTAAACCAATGTTCTATGGATGAAATGAAGATTCCAGTACCAGATTTAATGATGCTGCTGACAAAAGGACAAGTTCCTCAAGGACAAGATATGTCACAACTTAATCAAACCATTTGCAAGTAAGTTTAATTACTTTGAATAGCCTGTTAATTTCTGTCTCAACAAAGGTATATAATTAGCTGACTTTTAGATCTGTCATGCCGTAAGGAAAAGTTTTGATATTCAATATCAATTTTCATATTTATCAATATATCTCGTTAGAGTACATTCTCTGCTTGAAGTATTTCTGTTACCAAATAGAACAATACCATTTAAATTAATTGGTTATATTTGTAAATTTACGCAAATTTCATAAATTCTTTTGCTAAGGGCTTTATTATCGTCAATAGAATAAGAAAAAGAAAGAAAACGTATTAACAAAAACTGAGGCACACCACATACAATTGTAAATTCAAATTAACAATAAACTGAATTTTCATTTATTTCAGAAATTTCCAAAAGTTTGAATTATGCGGTAAAAGTGCTGTAGCTAACAGTGGTTGTAAACAGAGAGATCTACTTATAACCGAAGGAACTTTTGCTAACATGGTCATAACTGTTGGCTCATACTGCCATGATACCTCTGGTAAGTTTCGTATCAAAACGAGAAAGTAGCACGTGACACATTTTGTCATTTAAAAAAGCAATTAACGTAAAAGTGTTCAAATTAGAAAAAGAAATTAACTACTATGTACTAGTAATAAAAAGGCGATATACAACTTATGCTAAATCCATCGTCCCCAAACATTTGCTAAATCCATCGTCCCCAAACATTTGCTAAATCCATCATCCTCAAACATTTGCTAAATCTATCATCCCCAAACATTTGCTAAATCCATCGTCCCAAAACATTTGATAAATCCATCGTCCCCAAATATTTGCTATTTGCTAAATCCATCGTACCCAAACATTTGCTAAATCCATCGTCCCCAAACATTTGCTAAATCCATCGTCCCAAACAAACAAGCTTGTCTGAAGTTTTATTCTAATTTCAAATTTTCGGGAGTCCAAATTATAATTACCTGAAAATTGAAACAATATATAAGATTTTTTCAATGCTAAGGTATATTTTATTATTTTAAAGACACCATTAAATACCTTACATAAAGTTTGTCACTCGAACTCTTTACACAAAAATGGTTTTGTTTTGTTTACAGTACCAGGAGCATGTATGCTCACACTGCAGCAGCAATTCAAGAAGTGTTTTGCAGAAAATGGGGTTGATGCAAAAAAGTATTTCCAGAGTGTGTCCCAACATAAAGGTGCTCTTCTGGGAACATCTCAGGCTGAGGCAGAGGAATATTGCAGGTAAAATTTATACCATTTAAACGTTATTTTTCATTTGCTACTTTATTACAATTTCTAGACAGCTGCAGTCTTGATGTTCAAAATAATTTAATTTCAGTCGAATCTTATCATAACTTTTGGAAATTGTGGATGTTTAATTTTTACTAATAATCAGTTTTGATACAATTCATGCTAGATTAGATTGTGTTTTAACCGACATCTTCTTCAAGTCATTTATCTAAATATCGTATAGATATCGTACTCTCAAACGGGTAGAAAAGAAGTATATTTTATAAATGAGCTAAAGTTATCCTGGATATGTTCTTTACTCCTGAAATGTCATTTAATTTTCTTAAATTACGAATTTATATTTTTTAACAGCAAACGCCACGCACTGTACATTTGCATGAGCAAAGTTATACACCAATGCCCTGGAGCTGAGCAGACGATGTCTATGACAGGATTTGATCTCGCCGCCATGGAACGTGCCGTAGGAATGCTGTGCGCAGATATTCCAGGTAATTATTTCAGAAAATCACTTCAGGCAACGTGTGAATTTAGAAAACGATTGACAAGAGTTTATATCATTAAGTTGCACTGTAACAGAAGTAAATTTATGAAATATAAAACGACTGAATAGAGTGTGCCCTTTTACTTATGCTCTTACTTATTTTCTCGATTAGAACATTCCACTATCTGAAAGTAGTCTGGACCGTAGAATAGATGCAACTTAATTCATTGTATAAAGCGAGATTTAAATAGATATAAATAAGAATATGTAAGATAGCCTTGTTTCTAAAGGATGTGAAGGTCAAGTAATAATTCAAGTGTTATATTGAGTATCCATTTCTATATATAGAACCGCCTTGACATATCATATTTCAGTTCTAGTCATACTTTTTTCAATTATTCCAAAGACTTTCATAATAGATTATCGTTTATCTTAAGGTGGTACATAACACTACAGGGAGATAACTCTGTAAAAATCAGTTGAACGTTTTAATCACGTTCTATTGTTTAGGAAATATTAAGCTTCTCAATGATCAAAATAAGTGTTTGTCAAACTGCTATATATCCAATGAAATTTTTCTGATAAAGTGTGTGGTTCAAGTTTTTTGAAATTTTTATATCTTTGTCAAAGGGTCAAAGTAAATATTTTGTCAAAATTTTATGAAAATTAAACGAGCCCAATTAATTTTAGTCGAGGTGTTTGGTACCACCTTAAGGACATTTAAACTATGGTCTTACTATATTCGATCATATAATCAAATAAATATTTATATAATGTTAAAATTCGAATGTTTGTAAATAATTTACCAACATGCTCATTTTTCATTAGAATACCTGTTAGGTCTGAAGTGTTTTGAAAAACCAACAGAAAAGGCCAGTACATGTACATCCGACATGGCTAAAGGTATTACCAGCATATCAGCCAAACAAATGAAGAACGGCCTGTCTATGGAAGGATTTTTTAATGATTTTTGCGAGTAAGCTTTTTTATATGTAGTCTTATTACCATTAATTCAAAGTGCTCCACTTTGTAGGTGTGAATAATATAAAGATGTGTTTATTTAAGATGAATAATATAAAGATGTGTTTATTTAAGATGAGGATAAAATTGTATATGATCAATGTTTTTTTTTTATATAATCTAAATATTTTTTGAAATTTATATTTCAAACTGTCAATGTTGAAATATTTTAAATGCCGTCTTATTTTGTTGAAATATTTTAAATGCCGTCTTATTTTGTTGAACTGTTTTAATTAATAATTACAGCTCTAATTATCATTATCATTATCATTATTTCAGTGTCCGTGTAAAGCAAGTACAGTGTGATGCCAGTGCATGGCCAACATGTGATCCTAAAGCAGTTTTATTAAAAAGAAAATTCGAATGTCACATGCTTCCAACCAGATGTCACGAGGTCAATGAAGACGAAATCCGCCAAATCTGCCCAGAAGAAGGTAAAATTCAATCACTTAAAAAATATGCATAGAATGGGGGAAAGTGAAAATAACTAGCAAACACACTATCACTGAACTAGTATACATATTTGTTTAGGGGCCAGCTGAAGGACGCCTCCGGGTGCGGGAGTTTCTCGCTGCATTGAAGACCCATTGGTGGCCTTCGGCTGTTGTCTGCTCTATGGTCGGGTTGTTGTCTCTTTGACACATTCCCCATTTATATTCTCAATCTTATTAACTGTATTTTGGCTCCTTTCAAGTATTTGAAGTATATTTCTAAAAATAGAACAATATTGGTATGAACCATACATTCCGACTTTTACAAGCAATGCATTGGTTGATCCTTCTGTTTAATTGTACTGTAGTTAGTTTTAGTTTTCTTACGGTAATATACCTATTTTTTCCATAAACATTTCACTAAAAAAAAATAAGAATGATTGTGTTCAAATATATTTATACCTCTCTTTTTTTATTGAAGCCATTTTGCAAGCAGACAAGTGTGTAATGGACGTCAAACAGAACATCAAGATGTGTCTGGACGACTATAACATTGATCCTGATATGTTCCTTGTTAATATAACTCATGACAGAACTAAAATCCTTGGATCCAGAAACCTAGCTCAGAAATTCTGCCAGTAAGTATCCCTTCACTTTTTATACCCCCGCTTAAAAAAAAGTGGAGGTAAACTGTTTTATCTCTGTCTGTCGGTCCATCCGTCAGTCCGTCTGTCCGTCCGTCCCATGAATATTTTTCGTCGCATCTTTCTCAGGAACTACATTACAAGGATTTATGAAATTTGGTTTCAGGGTTTATATGAGTCAGCTATACCGTGTGATGCGTTTTCAGATTCACCACTCAACAACTTCCTGTTTACCTTATACTTTAAGCGGGGCTAGGGTATCATTAGTGAGCAGTAGCTCACAGATTCACTTGTTTGTATTATATTTTTGTTAATTAGCCAACTATATTGAATTTTGTATACTGTTTGTCTTTTCATTGTTTTTCATTTTTTGCCATGGCATTGTCAGTTAGTTTTCGACTTATGAGTTTGAATATCCCTTAGATATCTTTCGCCTCTCTTGTAATTAATCCATAATATCCAAATTTGTAAAAATGTAATTGCCTTAAAAAGTTTATATAACATTAACGGTACCAATTTTTCTGCACCAGATTATATTAAAAGGGGATTTGATGTTAAATAAGATAAATAATCATTTATCATTCTCTTGAATTGTTTTTATTAGAAACAGACAACAGGTGTACAAATGTATTAGAGACACTATCAGCAACTGTCCCGGTGCAAAAGAGAAACTGAGCAGATGGGGTCATCAACAGAATCTTCTTGAAGACGCTCTTAACATCGTGTGTTCTGATCTTAATGGTAAATACGTTATACTTTTATAATCATATAGCAGTAGCGATCTTTATACTTTTCATGATCCTCGTGAATTTTCGTAGATTTTTTTCATTATCTTGGCACTTTATAAATTAAAAAAAATATAGTTAACAGATGATGTTCCTTGGAAAGCGACATCTGTATTAGGTTACATGCAATTAGTGAAGATATGGTTTTTAAGTGTTTGATGCAGGGTTAAGTGAGCCTCTATTTTCATCATACATAGGAGAAAATACTATTCTACGTAATTCACTTTTTCAGATTTTCAGATTTTATAAGATGTATTTACTTCTTTCAGACACTGTAAAAAAAAGTGAAATGTTACACCAAAAGTCGCACCATATTTAGAAAAATTATTCCAGAAAATCGGTGTTTTTAACACCAACAATCGTGTTATATATCACTTGGGTTTAATTTCACACTAACTTAACGAATTTAAAATCTTCAATACAGTTTGATTGTTTTGTGCTTGTTATATACCAAATGTCATGAAGTATATCTGATAAATTTATTTTTTTCAGTTTATGCCCAGGGTGTTACTTGTATGCCTGACAGTGCTATTCAGTCATGTGTAAAACAGTCCGAAGACCGATTAGGAACATTCTACAGTAAAGCCGACAAAATGTCAAATGGCGAATATTTCAGAAACTTTTGCGAGTAAGTAGCTAAATTCAACGACGTTTAAAATGTATTTAAATACATTTCAAAGAACTTTCTGAACAATGATTATTGCATGTTTATTTTTTTTTTTTTTTTTTTTTTTTTTTTTTTTTTTTTTTTTCGAAAGAAAAAGAAATTATCTGCGACAAATATTAAGCTTCAATAAGTCTATCATAAAAATTTAGATTTAGTTATTGATTAGATCAAACAAGATATTATCTTTATAACTCGTAAATTATAAGCAAACTTGGAATGAGGCTTGTCTCGTATGTGCATTCAATGGATAAATTTCTAAAATCACTATTTCTTTTTGCAGAGTAAAACTTGACCATATGCAATGCGATATCAACGCCATGAGACAACAGTGCAGTGATGCTGCTATTGGTCTAAAAACAGAATTTGAATGTAAACTGATTCAAGATAGATGTATTGGTTTAAAGCGAAAAGCAATCAATAATATATGTAATGAAAATAGCTACAACAGAGTCAGCAGACAATCTGCATCAACTAATAACATTGGACAAACAGGCGGAAATGCTGCAGATAATGGTGCAACATCAATGTCCGTCACATCTGCTATAAGTGCATTAGGAGCATCTTTATTTGCAACAGTATTTTTATTATTGTAAAAAGTAGAAGAAATGTGTCAATCGGTGCAGAGTTCATATCCGTTCCGTTCCATACTACGTAATACTACACTAAATCCATGTGGAATATTGCGGAGCATGGATAAGGACTATGCGCCGAAGATTGGAAGCGCCTATGTGATCTTGATTTTTTGAAACAATGAACTTGTCTACAAATGTAAAGTAAAACAGGGCAGTGCTAATATTCGCTCTGTTTCTGCTGATATTGTTATGGATTTCTACAAAGAATATGTGTGTGATTTGTCTGTTAGAGTGCTTGTAATCGAAGAGAAACTAAGTAAACGAGAATTAAACGAGAGTGTGTGTGTACGTGTGTGTATTGAAACTGTGTATGAATGGTGGTTTTTTTTTGCTTTGGGAAATGCATAAGAAAAAAATCAGGTAGATATAAAAAGATTTTTAGATGCCACGCCTTGCCTTTTGATTACTGAACCCAGATCTCCTTTGCAGTGGTCGAATGATGACTTATATGATTGAAATATAGTCTGAATGACATACTCGTAGATCGCTTTTGAAAATGTATAATTTATTTAATTTAACTGGTTTATTTATTTATTTATTATTGTTTGATATTGCACTTGTTTTACACAAAATATGTCTTGTTGAGTCTCAATAAAACAAAAATAGAATACACTGTTTTTATTTCTTTGACATGTGTACATGTGTCATAATTTACTAGTTGGATTGTGTCATAATTTACTAGTTGGATTTTTATTTTGACAAATATGCAACATTTCCTGAAACTAATGTTCCAAATCCATCGACTAAGAAAAAAATCATTATTATGATCTAATTACTTTGTTTTTTGTGTTTCTGTATAGGAATCTTTGCTTTTTGTCGCAATTAAAATAAAATTAAGCCGATGTAAGTTGTTAGCAATTGAGACAGCTATTCATAAAAGTCTTAAGGACAAAGATGTGAACACCGTACGGCCTTCATCAATGGGCAAAACCCATACTGTATAGTAAGCTTTAAAAGGCCACAGGGTGGCAAAATATGAAACAATTCAAGAGAGAAAACAAACGATCTGATGTATACTACAATGATAATTTTGTTTGACAATTAAACTTAGCGGTCTTTGGTGTTAACTCTGTGTGTTGTACAAAAGGAAGAGTGATCCAGAAAAGCTCTTTACAAACCAAACATTTTGGTATATGTTATACACGAAGAAAACAAATGTGTTAGATTCCAAAGTTACCCCATGTCATGGTTTATATACAGAGTATTTCATTTCAATGCAGTTTCAAATCTATCCACAAGGCAAATTACGAGCTTAGCATCGTCTACAACCAAATCATACAAATATAGATTGGTATTAGTTGTGTTTTATTACTTCTGAGTCAACATCTGTTTTGATACTTTAATAGTCATATGACCGCCATGTCTCTGAGATAAGCAAACAACAAACAATCTATGTGTTAACGCTAGAGCTTTTAACTTCCTATGTCAATGTTCCTTCATTTCATGTATGGGGATCTATTTCTTGATTATTCTTCATGTTGGTTAATCGAGTTCTATCAGACAACACCTTTAAAATGTGTATATTTTCTATAATTTGAGACAATTACTTTGCGATATGTGACCAATTCCAACATAAGAATTCCACGGTTTACCACTATTTAGGAAATTGGAAATAATAATGTTTCAAGAGTTAAATTCCGAGTTTGAAAATGTCTTCATTGCATTTTTTCATACAACTAATCGAATATTGGGACAGAAAATAATTATTACTGAAATTGATTAAACACTGCTCTTTAAATGACCATAGGCATTCTTGCTTCCTGCTTCAAAATATTTCATTTTTTACTGCTCATGTTTAATTATATTTGTGGCCTAACATCTAACCAAAGAAAGTAAATAATAATCGTTTTTAATAGATTATTATTTAGACCTTGTAAACAGTATATTTTATCTTTACTATATCTTGCAGTATCTTTGCCGTCTACGCCAATAGTTTTATCTTGTGTGTACATGCTGTATACAGTTGAAATCGTTATTATGTGTTTAACTGTTAAAAACTGTCCAATCAAAGATATTCAAAATCATCCACCAGTACTCTCCAACAGGTCAATATTCCATTTTCAAATTAACGACTTTATTTCTTATCTAAGGTGTTATCAAGAGAAAACAGAACTTGATAGGATAGATTGTATCCCCGCCTATTCAAATCTTAAAGAAAGTGCATGTTTTTTTGGTTTTAGATCTGTACGCAAGCTTAATGCATTTTTCATTGTGTAAGCACCTATTTTGCAACCACTTTTTACATCAACGTGCAATCCACTTACAAAAGAAAAATACTTGTCATATTACTCACAGAAACACCGCTCATTCCGTTTGGTTAAAAGCAGGGATACAGTTTGTCCAACCTAAGAGTTGTTTCCCTTTGCAAAAAGTTCTAAAATTATAGACTCAACGTGAGTAATTGAAAAATGGCAATACTGTTAGCAAGATATTTATGCATATATATATATGTAAGGTAAAAACTCATCAAAGATAGCAGGCTTTTGATTTGATACGCTAGACGCGCGTTTCCTCTACATATGACTCGTCTGTGGCGCTCGAATCAAAACAGTTGAAGGCAAAATCAAACACGAAGTTGAAGAGCATTAAATGCCAAAAATTCCGAAAGGTACGGCTAATGCAAAAAAAAAAAACAACAAAAGAACAACAAAAAAAGCACGTCAGTTCAACAATAAACCAGGAAGTCTGTGTTTTTGACCGTATTTTTTGTAAGAGTGCATTAGACCTATAATAAACTAGGTTAATGGGTTTGAAAGGATATCTACCTAGGCTAGTGTATCGATAAACATGATTCTTAATTGATATAATGGGAAACAAATTTCCTGTATGATCTCCGTAAAATAATATAGAAGGCAGATCTAGATGTATGCATTAAAGTTCATGCGTATGTTAATGTTCGGAAAGTTAAGGCATGCCAGTAAAATATATAAATGCTAATATATTGCATTAGACGTTATATGAAAATTTTCACATACAAAACTTAAAAGACTATTGATAAGATTAACCGATGAAAAAAAGGAAAACCTGAAACCCCCCCCATAATAGAGGGAAAAGACGGAGCTATTTATCTGGTATCTATGCACAGTTTTTCGTAATTTTTTCTTTTTTAGATTACAAAAAAAAACATGGTGATTATATAATTCATAATTATGTTCCTCATATATATGTTCATTCCATCAAAATTGCTGGAAAAAACCAGCATTTTGTTATGCACACAGCTACTTTTGCATAGGTACTATTTCTGTACCAAAAATCTACAGTACTGGAAATCTACTTTAAATTTAATATTCAGTACTTTTTTGTTACTTTAAAATTATTGTAATATTTAGGTACCTGTATTTTACAGTACTTGATATGTACTTCAAATTTAAGTACTACACAATTTTGGTTACACCGTTACATTTTCAGCATTTTGAAAGCTTGTCTATTTCAAATCCCTTAAAGTTATGATTTTCAAACATAGAATATTGTTATCACTGTTGGTATTACTTCTGTACCAAAAAATTCAAGTACAAATCAAATACAGGTACCTAAATATTACACGAATTTTAAAGAAAAGAAATAGTACTTAATATTAAAAGTAAATTTCCAGTACTACAGATTTTTAGTACAGAAATAGAACCTATGCAAAAGTAGCAGTGTAGCTTATGTAAAATTGAGAACGGAAACGGGGAATGTGTCAAAGAGACAACCCGACCAAAGAGCAGAAAAACAGCTCAGGACACCAATGGGTCTTCAAAACAGCGAGAAAATCCTGCACCCGGAGGCGGGCTTTAGCTGGCCCCTAAACAAAAATGTATACTAGTTCTGAGAAAATAGACGTCACACTAAACTCCGAAACATATAAATGAACCAAAATTAAAAACAACTTCAAGACTAACACAGTCCAGATGTTTCGGACTTCGGACAGACGCAAAAATGCGGCGAGGTTAAACATGTTTTGTGAGACCTCAACCCTCCTCCTTTACCTCTAGCCAATGTGGAATAAACAAATACAAAGCAATACGCACAGTAAAACTCAATTTTAAAAGAAGTCCGAGTCCGATGTTAGAAAAGGTAACAGAAGAAACTAAGCAAAATGACAATGATCAACACAAATTAACAAAGGACTACTAGCAGTTACTGACATGCCAGGTCCAGACCTCAATTAAACTGAACGAAAGATTACGTCTTCATCATATGACAATCAAGCACAATCCCTCCCGTTAGGGGTTTAATATCATACCATCATAAAATATACGAGAACATAAACCGTATCATGCCAACAACTGGTTTAAGAATAAATGTGTTTATTTCCGATGCAAAGACCCTATGCGTTAATCAATATTAATTCCAAAAAATGCCATCTTTAATGACTTGACAACAATATCGTAACTATATCCCTTCTGAATAAGTCTTTGTGCTTTGTATAGAATATTACCATAAAAGATGCGATGTGAAATACCTGATCGTATAAGATGTCTGCACGTTGATTTATATTTACGAATGATGTCCTTGTACCGAAGATAAAATTTAGTAAATGTTTTGATAAGTTTGTGATATCGAAAACCCTGGTTTACAGAGATTTCTTTCGTTAAAATCAAATACGTTGTTACATACACGTGCGAATCGAACAAGTTGAGATACATAAACACCATAAGAGGGTGACAAGGGAACGTCACAATCTAAAAATGGATTATTAACAATAGGAAATAAAAAATCATCTCTTTGGTCGTAAATTTTGGTATTAAGCTTCCCATTAAAGATATAGATATCAAGATCCAGGAAAGGGCAGTGTTCATTGCTAGTATTATCTTTATTCAAAGTCAGTTCAGTAGGATAAATCTCTTTAATGTACATACTGAAGATATACTGAAGTCGTCATTATTGAGAGCCAATATATCATCCAAATATCTAAAAGTGTTATTAAATTTTTGTATCAGATGTTGTTTCGATGGGTCTTTGCTGATTTTAGTCATACATTGTAACTCGTAACAATACAGAAACGGGTCCGCAACAAGTGGTGCACAGATAGTCCCCATTGGAATTCCGATAACTTGACGATATACGGAATCTCCACAGCGAACAAAGATGTAATCTAATAAAAATTCAAATGCAGTTATCGTATCAGAACAGGTCCAATTTACATAGTTCTTTTGTTTGTTGTTACTAAAAGATGACCTAAAAGAGTTTGAACATAAATATTCGCATTCTGACTTTTTAAATGCTTTTTTAGTTAGGTATGTGAATTTTTTCTAAGTGAGATAATGAGGCAAAGTGGTATATAGGGTAGAAAAATCAAAGCTTGGAACAGATTCGAAATCACCAATATGAGCATGCAATTTATCAAGTACTTCCAACGAATTTTTGACATTCCGAAAGTAATTAATTCCACGAATTTCAAAGGCCTTATATATATTTGAACAATTTATTACCAGGTTTTTGATTGTACCAAGCGTACTATTAAGTAGAATTTACAGTTTAGTAGGGGAACAATGACTTGAAGACGAAATAAATCTATATTTGTAAGGCGTTTTGTTCAGCTTCGGAAGCTAGCCAGTACATAGTTGGAACTTTCATGTTATTCGGTTCTGCTTCTAAAGAGGTAGCTAAAAGTTTATGTTTGTTACAGATGTCATTTTCCGAAAATGGAGTCAGTTGGAATGTTGGTGAATTCGTGATTTCCTTCTGAAGAACCTAAATGTAAAATTTACGTCAAACAATAATGATATTATTGGCAGCCTTATCAGCCGGGACAAAAACAAATTCCTTGGCGAGTTCTTTTAGCTTATGTTTGATACGAGAAATAGGGCTATAATGGTTGTTTTTAGGAGTAAAATGTTCATGAAAATGTTTAATACGAATATCAACTATGTTCATTACTGAATTAAAAAAGGAATCTATGGATTTTTCGTCAGCTTTTTCTCGTTTTATCCATTTCGTACAGTAAGTACGGAGTGAGTAGTGGATGATGTTACGACACTCATTCCAATTGATAATTGACGTCCGGGGAAAGGGGGGGGATATTTACCGAGGAATTATTTCAACTCTCAGTCATGGAAGATGTTAAGGTTTCCTGTTATAACATGGGAACTGGGGCCACTAATGTATTTGGAATTACTGCAATTTCATGACGTAGGTGTACTGTCACTGATATTAAAATCTTTACGTACTTCGCTATAATTAAACACATATTTTCAGGTAGATTTTTTGTAAACATAACAAATAAGAAGGAGCTCAGTATTATCAAAATAACCAGGAATTTGTTCTTTAACGGAATGATCATTAAGAATACCGGCAATATTTACAAAATCAAAACCTTTATTCACATATTTGATTTTAATTATCTTCAGGGCGATCAATTTTGGGAAACAGTTTAGAATAACATACCTAGGACTCCAATATGGAATTGTGTTGCAATCCTCCAAAATTTGATGTTATTTATTAACAGATAAAAAACAGAGCTTGGTTTATAACAGATAATGTCTGTCGTTGTTTTGTCTTTTTTAGAACCATGTTGGACCCTAAATCGGCTGATTCAGAAGTAGAAACTGTTTTTAATCCTCATTCGGGAAGAATCCTAAATTTGAAAGCTTCCTGCGATAAAGATCCTCACAATATTGAGATTATTTCTTCCTATAGGTCAAAGTACGGCCTTCAACACGGAGCCTTCATGTCTTTATTGTCGAAAAAATTCCTTAACATCCCAAAAAACATTGTTATATATATATTTTTTTTACATTCTACTTCTTGAGTATTACAATATGAAATGTTCTTATTTGAATTAGGAAACGGATTAATATAAGCTAACAGATTGTTTCTGGATCCTATTAATTATTCACTTGTATTAATATGTAAATGCCAATTTGTGTACATTACTTAACCTGAATTTAATTAATAAAATATGTTTACACTATTTCTTCCTGATTTTTGGGATGTTAAGAAATTTTTTCGACAATAAAGACATTAAGGCTCCGTGTTGAAGGCCGTACTTTGACCTATAATTGTTTACTTTTTACACATTGTGACTTGGATGGAGAGCTCATACCACATCTTTTTATTTATATATAAAAACGGGAATTAATGTAATGGTAACGAGAAACAAAATAACCAGAACATTAATCAAATTCAGGTCGTCTAACTCTTTCCTATGGCTGTAATATGAACTCGAGTACTATAAGTGGAGCAGCTGAAAATTGCAACGAAATCAATCTGTTTAAAATACAGATCCTGTTCTCAAGCTTTAATTTGGTTACAAGCTTGGCGTCAGAATCTGTATTTTAATAAAGATTGCAACGAAACCATTTCACAATTGACCTTTTGAGCTTATCAATAAAAAGATAATTAATTGTTCGTTACAGAGGTTTTAGTTTTATCATCAACTGATGTCCGCCACTTTACTAGCGGAAATGGTGGGAAAAGGATTAATAGCCCGATTTTGCATTATTGTGATGATACAATATTCTATTTTATTAATACCATAGGAAATCATTATCTCGGATTGAATTTGATATATGCATTCATTTACACAAATTATTTATGACTTGGTCTATCTGTATCTTTGAATACTTTCCTAAATTCTTTCTACAAAAGAGTAGCGAGGGTTTTCCTTCATTTTCAGAGATTTATAATACTTATGTAAATATTATTAGAATACATTGACGTAAACGTGTATGTTGAATTCTTTATGAATACAAAATAACCTTGAAACTAAAAATATGATAAAAAAAATAATAACAATGTTGATGACGTAAATGTAACAAATAAAGTGTGAATAAGAAAAATAATAAGGGGAAATAGAAGTGGGCCAAACAGTTCTATGGCCTAGAGGCAAAAGAATTACGACAATAGTCCACATGTTACACATAACATGATAAACAACAGATTTAGAAACAACAATCCGTAGAAGTAAAGTCAATCTGTACTATGTCTTCTAAATAATCAAGTTTTGAAATCCAATAATTCAGGCATAAATCTAATTTTAGAAGTGTAAGACCATTTTCTATATTGATTGATTGATTGGTGTTTAACGCCACTCTTTGCACTATTGTGCTATTTCGTGACGGTAAATTTTTATTGATGGAGGAAGCCGGAGTGCCGGGAGAGAACCACCGACATTTGGTATAAAAACTGACAATGCTAGTCAATTAAGATTGAAGTCGAGCGCACCTGCCACATGCGGGATTCGAACTTATAGCCTCAGCGTTGACAGGCTAGTGGTACAGTAGTTCGACTATTTAGACCACTCGGCCATCGAGGCCCCTTTTCTATATTGAAATGAAACTATATATTACTTTCGCATCATATGGTCAAGATAGATAAAAGGGGATGTTTGTTTATATAATACAAAAAACGCGAAAATAATGAAATTGACAGAAAACAAAAAAATAACGGATTTTGGAAAAAAGTTAGAGGGCTAAAAAAATTGTCCTGTCCCCAAGCACCTATGGTAAATATATCAACAAGAAACAAAGACCAAAAAGTGTAAAACGTTACAGTGTTACCTTATAGTTTGTTGTGCTGTATACCACTGTCCAAGGTAAGGGAGACGGTTGGCAATCATACCACATCTTTTTATTTTTACATCGCGATGACCGTGAGGTCATTTCGATGTATTGCTATCGCCTAAATTTCCATTATGCAAATAAGTTTTGGGTTTTCAACCGATCTATAAAAATTATAGATCCGCGGTCATTATCTAGTGCAAAATAACATTACTTATCGCTTGTTTCAAATTCATTTTTTCAATGGATACTCCTATAAATATTTTTATTAAAACACAAATTAATAATATGAAAATGTGTTGTCGTTAGTTTTATATATATATAAAAGTAAAAAATCATTGATGATATCCATGCACACGTACCGAAAAATTGTGTTAAAGCTTACTGAAGAATATCTCAAGAACGTTTTGCGACACTCCCGGCAAGGACCGATAACTCTGTTATTGTTTTGCGGGAAAATATGAATGGCTTCGCACATCCAATCTTTTAGAAAAAATCGATTTTTTTACAGAAGAGTGTCCACAATGCACTTGCACTGCACTATAATTAGAATAGTAGAATAGAATGATATACAAATAGATGAAAATTATATTTACATGCAACCGTAATATTAATATAATATATAACAACAAACCAGTGTATACTCTGGGAGTAGTATTATATTAGTATAATAGTCCCAGGTATACTGATTTGTATCACTACAATATAATAGTTATTACGGTGCGGTTGAATTTCCTGTCATTTATTCATCATCCATGCACGAACTTGTATCAGAAAAAAATATATCTCTGTAAATTAACCTCAGTTTCAGGTATAGAGATGTGATCTATTTCTGTGACATGTGCTTTTGACCATCCACAAGAACCTGCGGTCATCCGATGTTCAGTACTTCAGTACTTTGATTTTATATAGTTTCAATGATCGGAACGAATTATAAAACATCTTTTAAGAATTATTCCAAATCCATTGATAAAAATTGAAAATTCATAATCACTAATAATAACTTTTATATTTACAAATAGAAGTTTATTTTTGTATAATGTTATTCCAATAAATGCATACAATCAAACATATCGCTCTCTTACCCACTTTCAAAATGACTAACATCCTTCCTGACAAGTTATTATAATGGGAAATGCCTGCAGGAATGCAGGAGAAAATTCATATCGATATGTAGTAAATTATACATAATTTTATCATATTATCAAAAGCATTTCAGTTCATTTAGTAAAGTAATTGAAAGAAACATCTTTGTTCAATATTGTCCCCAAAAGTTGTCTGAATGCTGGAATAACCGAATGTTTATGCTTACAAAGGCAAACATCTATAAGCATATGTCACAAAATTGGCTTCCACTTCTTTGTCATTGGTGTTTTGGCATTCATAATTTTCTGGACATCTATTACACCTGAAACAAAGTTTGATAATAGTTAAAAACTGATTTTCGTTCTGAACATGCATGGACTATTTGCCACTAGACGGACGTTAAGCAACCAACAATCGAAAACTGATTTTCCCTTTTCCCATTTACCAAGATATTTTAACCTTTCATATCTATGTCAACATTTTTGAAGGGTTTAATGATTTGTAGAATCGAGATTCTTGACTGGATTAGATTTGTCACGTTAATCTTGTTGTTCAATAACACGCAATATACGATTGTTGGTTACGAATTAACATGTTTAAACTTATTGCAGTTGCCAAAAAAACTTAGTCTGATTTTGTTATGACCTAGATAAAATTGTTCTATAGTAAATTCCAAGCGATTGAAAGGCTAGAAATAATTGGAAGAAATCATTTAAAAAGATTGCTTGATGTTTGCTTAACGTCCAGTGGAAAATATTTCATACATGTTCAGGACGAGAACAAACTAACAATAAATCCAATAGCTAGGTCCTGAACAGGGGTCTACCGGAATGACGGGCGGGGGAAATTGGAATACTACTGGAAAATGAGGATATATTGGAAAGGGACAGACATTTAGCCTTTCGACATGCCACCTACAGACCCATAAAAGACTTGTTGTAGGGGTTCTTAACATACACTAAGCGTGGCAATTTTTTTACACGAGATTTCGTTTTAACGTTCCCATTCTGACGAGACGTCGCTGCGTATTTATGCACCCCGCCCAGCCAAACGGACACCCGACTTTTGCAAGGGTTTTACTTCCGATCGTAAGAATACTCCAGACACCATTTGGGGTTTCTATTTTGAAAAGGCAACGAAGTACCTGGTTACGGTACATGATCTACGATATCGAATTCGTATTTGGTAGAGTGGTTATACAAATAATCAGTCTTTTTTTTATTTTCGACATTTTTTTTCAATTTCTAGTTTCATTTTTCCGTGAAAAAACACCCTTGTTCTCACTTTCAATGATTGTTACTATCACGTAGCAACGGGTTAAAATCCGAAACGACAAAGTAGAACCAAAAATCAGAAAAATATAAAAACCAATTATTTTAAATATGCCCGAAACTTAGTAAAATAAATTGCCATTTTTGTCACTTCCATATTCGTCTTATTTTGAAGTGACTTTTTGAAATACTTAATAAAAAAAAGATATTGCAATGCATTAAAACAGTTTAAGCAAGCTAAAACTATTGAGAGTATTATGAGAGAACTACTTCAATTCTGCATCATGTTAATGTGTTAATCTCATGTCAGGAATTGTTACAGTGCTTGTCCTGTTTCCAAATATATCGTATTTAATTTTTTCTTTTGATAAATTTTGTGTTTGTCCCACATCTTGATTTCATTAAAAACTGGTCTAGACTCGTTTTGATTTTAAGTTAGTTGTATGGATTTGGATGCTAATGTCGGATACCGTATGCTGTATTTGGTTATATTTGTTCGTTTTTCTTTCTTTCTCCTTAGTGTTTAGCCCACATCTTTTATCTTTTTTTTTCCATTTTTTCTTTTTCTTTTATCTAACAATATTACATTATTTAAGGAATGACTGTAATATTTTTTTGTCTATGAAGAAATAACCACAAAAATGTGGTCCACACTGAATAACCCGCGTAGTTATTTAAAAGTGTGCACCACATTTTCTATGTAATTTTCGAATAATATAATTTTAGATGTAACACGTCTTCTGATTGGCTGAAAGTTGTTTGTCTATCAGCTCATAGATATAATTTTGTCATGTGACCGTGACGCCATCAAAGTTTTTTCATGATTTACTCCTTAAAAATGGAATTCAGAATTAAATTAAAAGGAATGACTGTAATATGTTTTCTGTCTCATTCTAAATAACCTCAAAAATGTGGTGCACACTTTTAAATAACACGCTTCGCGCGTTATTCAGTGTGCTCCACATGTTTGATGTTATTTCTTCATAGACAGAAAAAATATTACAGTCATTCCTTAAATAGACAGAAAAAATATTACAGTCATTCCTTATGATTTAATTCTAAATTCCATTTTTAAGGAGTAAATCATGAAAAAAACGTTGATGACGTTACGGTCACAAGACAAAATTATGTCTATGAGCTGATAGACAAGAACTTTCAGCTTGTTACCTATTCTGACATCGGACTCGGACTTCTTTTAAATTGCGTATCGCTGTGTGTTTCTTTATTCTACATTGGCTAGAGGTATAGGGGGAGGGTTGAGATCTCACAAAACATGTTTAACCCCGCCGCATTTTTGCGCCTGTCCCAAGTCAGGAGCCTCTGGCCTTTGTTAGTCTTGTATGTTTTTTTTATTTAATCCATTTATATGTTTTGGTATTTAGTAAGACGTCCATTTGCACTGAACTAGAACACATTTTTTATCCAGCTGAGGACCACCTCCGGGTGCGGGATTTTCTCGCTGCGTTGAAGACCCATTGGTGGCCTTCGGCTGTTATCTGCTCTTTGGCCGGGTTGTTGTCTCTTTGATATATTCCCCATTTCCATTCTCAATTTTATTTTAATCAGAAGACGTATTACATCCAAAATTAGATTATTTCGAATAGTAACGAAAACTTCATCCGTAGTAATGAAAATAACACTTTAAAATTTCGTGCTTCCGGAGTGCTTATCTGGATTTACATTCAACAGGAACGCTTAAACGCCAAGGAAGTATAAATACGCAGCAACGGTATATACCAAAAGGGACATAAAAAGAATAGCCAAATTCCTCTAAAGGTCAACTTTGCCTGAGGGAGAGGGAAGTTTAGTTTCCTAGTATAAATATAAACATCGACGACGAGGGGGGGGGGGGGCTTTAACGACATTGACTACTCATATAAACATTTTTTCATTGTACCTGTGTCTTATTCCTATGCACTATGGATACTGAAGAGTAAAAAAAAACTATTAAAAAAAAAAATTTAATTACAAGTTAAGCATCCTCAAATACGCATGGATCTCCTGTAATAAGATTTCAAAGTTATATCTTAAAGTGAGTACCATCCGGGATTATGATAAATTGATAAGTTGAATATGTGTCACTTCAAAACGATGCCGATCTATCTAAATAGCCGTGCGAGTTTGAAATACAATAAACCATTTAATATGTTATTTTCTAAAAAGGCTGAAATTTGGAAAACAAAACCAATGACAGCATTTGGAAAAGGAAATAATTTTATATTCTCAAAATATGATATTTTAAGTCCTCTTTTCTTTAAGTTATAAACATTCATAAATCATTAAAGTTTCAACTTGATACATTTTTAAGCTACGTTGTAAAGCACTGTCTTATAATGATATTGTATTACTGGTTATTGCAATGAAATAAACAATTTAATTTAGCCAATTCCAAGTTGATGCTGTGCATTTAATTGAAGGGAAATAGTATACTTACTGATGATTATTGTAAAAGTAACAGTTTGAATTTGATAAGATCAAATTTGGGTCCCTGTTCCATTCACATACTGCCCATTTACATATACTGTTGGGTTCACAAACTGGAAAGTCGAATGTCAGTGGTATTATCTACAAAAATCAAAAAACGAAAACGTAATGATTTTTTTTCTTTTAACGAAAATAAAGCAAACATTGAGTCTAATTTGGTTAGAGATTGAAAAAATGCTATTTTCAAACAAAAGTAATCTGTATATGTATTTTTGCAAGAACAAATAATGGAAAAATTCTATTTAATACATGTGTATCAAGTAAAAAGTACTATTGATAATTTTTTCTTCAAAAAACCGAGATTCACAGTTTTTGTACTGCTTTACTTTTTGTCTGGTTCTTTTTCTAGCAAAACTGGAACCTATCATGGATACATTGCTTGTATACTAGGATTGTTTCTATTGAGCCCTGTAAGAAAGTGGTTTTTTTTAAAATCCACAATTTACATCATGGTAATATTTACTTTAAAAAAATATGACAATACAGTAGCGGACCCAGGGGGTGTTCTTGGGGTTGGAATCACCCCTTTTATGTTGACAACTTATGCATTTGTTTGGCGACATGGTTGGACCCCCTTTTTTACATGACTTGCGAGTGTTAGAATCCCCCCCCCCCCTCCCATCGTTAAAAATGGCTGGATCCGCCCCTGCAATGCTCACTTCATATAGTTTTCCATACAACAGCCAGTTCAAAAATATAATTTAATTTAAGAATCTTAGACGATTTATGAAAGCTATCATTTGATTTTCGAATCAGTAAATACAAAAACAAACAAAAAAATAGAAAATAACACTTTAAACCAAAAATGTATAACTACCTAAACACAGCTTTATGACAAAAAATGGCCTAAAAGAACAACCAAATTCATCTATATACGGTCAACTTTGCCTGATTGGATTGGAACCTTAGTTTTAATAATTTTTAAATTTATCTTAGCTGAACTGATGATACCTGTTCCTAGCTTTTCGTCTTTTGTTACACGCGTTTCGGCGAGTCGCGTAAAATTTTGTTTGATGAAACAAAATAGCAGAAATAAATCGTTCAATCTCTGCTTAACAGAAATAGAAATCGTTAATAACAAGAATAAAATCGTCCAATCTCACCACATTATAGCAAATTATAAGGACCAAAAGTACAAACATAATAATCTGTAACCTGATAATCACATTTCGGTATAATTTTGGAAATTGATGTTAAGTTGTCAAAAACAAAGAAGATGCGTCAATAAATTACGGGAATAAAAAACGCGTTCAACCAAAAACTGAGGGTGATCTCAGGTGCTCCGGAAGGGTAAGCAGATCCTGCTTCAAATGTAGCACCCGTCGTGTTGCTCATGTTAATACAAACCCGGTGATAAGTTTAATTCGGTACGTCACATTCGGAGAAAAGGGGACGGGTTGTACATTTAGTTACGACAATTGGAACATATCCGTTGTCATATGTGAACGTATACTCCATAACGGTCAACCAACTCGTGATGGCGTCCGTAAAATTTACGAAGGGATGATTTCAATAAGCTGTACAGTGCCGTATAGTTGTTTACATTTTTGTCCTTTGGTCTCTGATGGTTAGTTGTCTCATTGGCAATCATAACCACGTCTCCTTAATTTATTTCGATGATATTATTAATATTTATAAACACGAATTATGTACTTAAAGGCCATGTTAGGTCATCGTTATAATAATGAGTCACGAATTATAGATCAAATTACAATCCTGTGGTCACTGCATTATTATAATATCAATAATATAGTAAACATCTGCTCCCTTGATGGTCAGTATAATTATTAGATAATATGGTTAGTGATATTTGTTATGAAGTACTCAATACTGTAAAATAAAACCAAACACAAGTCTGCATGAAATGACACATGGACCCTGCCGGATTTGCATTTATCAGAAAACAGTCCCCACCACAAAACCATAACAAAATATACTAATGCGACTGTCCATTTCCGTTTCCTTTCCTTGCTGATTTATATGATTGATTGTTGGTTGCTTAACGTCCAGTGGCAAATATTCCATGCATGTTCAGGACGAGAAATTAACAATAAATGCAATAGGTAGGTCCTGTAATAGAGGTCGTCCGGGATGAAGTTCGTGGAAATTTGGACTGCCACGGGAAAACGAGGATATATTGGATGGGGACTGAAATTTAGCCTTGCAACAGGTCACCTACAAAGGTTCTTAACGTGCAAAGAGCGTTAATGTCTGTGTCATTTGGTCTCTTGTGGAGAGTTATCTCATTGGCAAGCATACCACATCTTCTTATTTTTATATGGTGTCCAACGGACATATATTTTTGTTTTTAGTTTTTAAGGTTTCATTCAAGTATACTACAAATATATTTTGTTCGTATACAATTATTTCTTGATGCTTAAAAGATTTAAGGTTTGCTTTAACTACATTGTAAGTTGTTTTCTCAAGTCTCAATTAGCTAGAATGAATTTATCCTCTCTAATTTGGATTGAAAAGTTTAAAGAATCGACACGTTAGAAGATACATTAATGTCTAATTTGTGATCGTTAAAACTGTGCAAACCACAACGAACATGAATATGTTTCCTTGCGGGGCATTACACTAACGCACCAGCGAATTTATTTTCAAATCATTTTTTGGAACTAAAGAATATTTGATAGGATATTAGCCTTAAAATCTTGTGAAGAAATGTAAAAATGGAATCAGTGTAATTTTTAGTGCGTTAATAACAATCTTTCAATTTATGCATATGACCTGAGGTACAGTTAATTAATTTTGAAATATTCGTTTAAGACATGGAATTGAGAGTTTGTTGTTATGTAATTTGAAATAAGTAACATAACAACAAAGTCAATTATTGTTTAAAATATTGTCTTAAATTCATGTCGTACACTTTTTTGTTAATAATATAAATGGACTGATTTCCTTTTAATTTCGAAACAACGCATTGCATGGCATTATCACTGAAAGAATCATTTAGCTTTTTCAAAAAGTTTTTGCATGATTTGAAAAATGTAGAAGTAGTGTTTTGAGACAGCGACCAATGCCACACTTGAGGTCAACATACTGTCTTCAACAATAGACAAGCCTTAATATGTCAAGCGTCAAATAGGTCTAAATCTTGAGTGTATATTGAATGTAAGAACTCGGTTTTTTCCTGGTATTAAAAGAAGAACAGAAAAACCTAAATCGAACAGTTTGGTAATTTTGTTTTGCCCTCTCATTACATAGATATCAATTTATTTCATTACCTTTCCATGTGATTGGCCCGAGTTTCCGAGGAAAGAAAGTCTATGCAGAAACTCATATCGGACAATAATAAAACAGGTACATTTGATTTACTCGTGTATATATTCTGCATAGAAGAGCAGTTGCCCTAAGTTAATATCCGATACTCAGATGTAAAGCGATGTTCGAGTATTTGGAATAATATTCCGTACATGGTTTTGTATATTGAGGATTGTTATGACGAACAAACTACTAACAACATAATTACAAATACGAAACCATCACAAAGAGGAATTAAGGTGATTTAGACAGACTCAGATTCAGTAGTTCATTAGACACAAGACAAAACAAAACTTGAGGTCATGATTCAGATTCAATAGGTGACATGTAATAATACAAGCAATTACCTAAACAAAACTTGAGGTCATTGCACGCAGTTTGGATTTCATCGATTTCAATTTGTTTTAGTTCTAACATGATGTTGACAAATTTAAAAAAAAATATATTCTCATCTTCAATCTTTAAGGATAAATATCTCAAGACAAATCAAAATTGCCGTTACCTTTTCGATAACTCGATATCCTCATATTTAACTTGTAAAAGTAACGATCAAACTAAATGTCGCATATAGCTCATTCGCTGTATATGGTATTATATATTTTTCTTACAGGCAAAGAAACAAATCTTTTCATCACGTATGCTATTTAGTAAAACGATTTACTCGAATTTGTATAGTTTATTGCGAAAATACTGATTTTTTTTAGAAAGTTTGTTATAACATCGCACCCACACTTATTACAGTACATTACTGTTGTTTGTGCTCGATCGATACCACGTTCAAGGAGGTAATATTTTTAATTACTAGCACTGGTTCGATACCCCCGGATTGATCACGTTACGTCCCTGATGTTTGTTTTACTACACTGGGTCGATACCGCAGATTGATCACGTGACGTTATGCATGTGATGTTTGTATTACTACACTGGGTCGATACCGCAGATTGATCACGTGACGTTATGCATGTGATGTTTGTATTACTACACTGGATTGATACCGCGGATAGATCACGTGACGTTATGCGTGTGATGTTTGTACTACTTCACTGGGTCGATACCCCGGATTGATCACGTGACGTTATACATGTGTTGTTTACATTACTATCTCTGGGTCGATACCCCTGTTGAAACACTATATGTTCTCGAAGGTAATGTTTTTATTACTAGCACATGATCTGTGCCCTGCTGCATGGATCACAGTATGTTCCTGAAGGTAATATTTTACTAGCACTGATGACATGCCCCACTGAGGCATTGTATGTTCTTGAAGGTCTTATTATAATTCTAGCACTTGTACGATATGTATGCTGGGGATCTGTTAGTTACTGGTGTATCAGCCGCCCTACGCTTTTTATTGCTGTTCGCTTGATTCAAATACATCTGCACGATTATCAAACAAATGAGTTACAATAAAAAATTTTCACTTAAATAAGATTTTAGTTAAAAAAAAGTTCAAAGATCTACTTGTTTTGTATTTTATCTAAAAAAAAACATGCCTTGTTTCACAAAAGTCTAAACGACCAACGACCGAAAACTGTTGGTCCAAAGAGAAATCCTTCTGAAAGAACCTTAATTTCCTGCTTTTATTATTGACTTGCAATATCCAGATTGGATTTCAATTAGTCATATTCTTTTTTGCAATATAATTAATTCAATTTAACTTCGGTACAACATAAAAAAAATCTTAATTTCTTTTAAAAAAAACTCTTTAAAGTACAGCAAAAGTAACTAATTTTATTAACATCCAACATATTTTTTTTCAACAAACCAGCCAATTGTTGCTTGTAATTTTGAACTTATTTTCAATTCGATTTGAAAAAAAATATTCCATGTAATTTTCAAAACACAATTGTAAGTTTAAGATAGGCTTTGTAGCAAAGTTTTGCGTCGAAATTAAGGTTTGAAATAATTTTTATATTCTTGAGAGTTTCAAATTTCTTTTTAAAGATGCAAAAAAAAAAAGAAGCTTAAAAAAGTTGTGATATAAATATAAAAATTGCATAAAAAGTAAATGTCAAACAACTTCAAGGTATTTTTAATGTAATGATTTGTTTGAAACATTATGAGGAACATTTATAAAAAAAAAAAGCCGAATGATTGTTGTTTTCACACTTCTTGAGATTTGTCATCTACTTTACAACATCAAAATAAATAAATAAGTAAAATATTCTTATTTCATAAACTTACCTTACGAAAGAAACCACTTCGTAGAGGTCGAAGTGAACTATCACCATTTACCAAACATAAAATCACACACGTAATTAGAATTGTACTTGGGATATGATTCATGTTGATTATTGTGAGTAAATGGGACAATAGTTATGTATGAACAATATTTATATATTATTGGTTAAGCCGTAGGAGTGTAGGGTTTGTCATTCCATTTCTCCTTTTCAATTATCTATTTCTACAACCACTCTTCATGGAAATTAACTAATTGTTCTTATTATCTCATAATTTTGTTCCGTTGCGGGACTTTAATGATTGAACGGACGTACGATAGAAAGATGATGCTACAAATATAGTATGACAGGTGAATTGTTTAGAAAAAAATTGATCGAGATAAATATTTCACCGTTGAATTTCCGGATACTTGTAGTTTTCATTCAGAAACTAGTGTGAACATCTACAATAATATCAACGGTACCAATTTCATTGCACCAGATGCGCAATTCAATATATTGAAAATTTCGAAAAATAAAGCCACATGACTATAATATTTTGTAGAAAATTGTTTCAAAATAGACATTATAACACATGTTTCAGTGAAACAGGTGTAAATCTTTAGCTAAGATTAACTTCAGTGTGAAGTCATCTGAGTATTCACCCCAACCATGTCACGTATAAAGATGAAAAAAGGATTACCCCCAAAAATCTCGTCCTGAGCATGTTCCAAGATCTCGACCTGAACATGTACAAATATATCTCGTCCTGAGCATATACAAAGATCTCGTCCTGAGCATGTACAAATATCTCGTCCCGAGCATGTCCAAAGTATACAGTAAAGCTTTAGTGATATAACATGTACAAGAGACAAATAGTAGAAAAAGACTGTCGCTAGAAAATCTAATAATTTTTTTTTCACGTGTTTGTTGATAAGCTTTACTATCATAACATTTATTAGTAATATATATTCGCTTGTAACTACAAGGACCTAAATTAAATCATACTTGGGTTGTGTTTAATATCACTTCTATCAGATGCTTGCATATGGTATACAATCCATATATATAACGCAATCATAGGTTTGAACGTTGTTTTTAATTTAGACTTGTTTATATATATATATGTTTTGTTAAAATATACTTTTTCACTCATTTGGTCTTTTGGAAAATGTTATTTGTGCTGTATTTAGACCCCTCTACCAAGAAATTTATTTTGCATGCACACGTATAAAAATTGCGGTTTTTATCCAACGCAATCATAGGTTTGAACGTTGTTTTCAATTTAGACTTGTTTATATTTTTTCGTTTGGGCTTGTATTATATTTGCCTTCGGGTTTATATGATCCGTTCATCCAATTTTGACTCTTTCAAAATTCAAGAGTCTATCCTAAATTGAGGTAAATTATATGGCCTTCCAAATACCGTTTCGATTCCTAACATCACTGAAGAGACATTAATTGTCGAAATCCGGATATGGTGTACAAATTTTTGCACCTCATGTTTGCGGTATACCATCTTTTCCGCAAGTTTATTGTTTTCTGTTTGGTAATAAATTAATAATAAGATCTATTTTGTTACATCTTGTGATCCGTTTGTTTGGCAATAGCCAATGGCCGTCAGCAGGGTTTAAGAACATCAGTTGTTCGACCTGCTAGTCAAATGCGTTTTGTTAAAATATACTTTTTCACTCATTTGGTCTTTTGGAAAATGTTGTTTGTGCTGTATTTAGACCCCTCTACCAAGAAATTTATTTTGCATGCACACGTATAAAAATTGCGGTTTTTATACAACGCAATCATAGGTTTGAACGTTGTTTTCAATTTAGACTTGTATATATATAATATATATATATATAAAACGTCTTGATATTAGTCAACGCTCTTTCTCACGAAGGCGCTGGATCGTTATGAGAAACGATTCTATACACAATAAATAAATTGTATTTACGCCTGAAAAAGTATACAAAACAACACCAATATTAAAAAAGGAAACAATAAATGTAATTATCTATATGTTTCCTTTTTCAATATTGGTATTTTTCTTGTACACTTTTTATAATATATATATATATAGAATATGATGACTTGCTTTCTATTGCATTTGGACGTGGTAAGTTTAATAGCCTCTTGACAGTATTCAATCCCTTGATGAATTACCCGCATAGTTAATTATCAATTTAACTAACATCCACATTCATTAACACCATGTATATTTGTTGACTTGGTCAATAAAATACAATTATGTACAAAAAAGGCCGAAGATACGTCAAATTCGTTTTTTTTTTATAAAAATGCAGTAAAACTAACACCTCATTATAACCAATGCTTCAGTATGGCATAACCATAAGTCAGAGTGTTCTTGATTGCCGAATGGCTGTGACAGTTGGTTCACCTAGTCATGCATAAATCAATTTAGCAAAATGGGGTTCTAGATTATCTCCGATCATTTGCAAAATTAGCAAAAAAACATTTTTCTGGTTACTTTTATATGGTATACTTTGTCAGGTTGCATATTTGTCTCCCATCTGATAAGTAAACCAATGCTAAAGTTGGGCGTCCGTTTAGATATGCGGGATGTATACATACGCAGCAATGTCCGTTTGGAACGGGGACGTCAACGATTTTCAACTATCAATTCCTTCATGTTTAGTTCTTATGTATATTCGTTAATGACAACTTTTAGTATCCTTCCGACCGGGATATGTTTCTCAAAATAAACAAATTGCCCTTCCTTTTTTGTCGTGCTTGTAGATATTTACCCGATTTGTTTTATAAAACAAATACCAGTATTCTGAGTGACTGATTGAGTCTGGTTTCTCTAGGATACATACAGTTGACAGAATTATGAACAAACATACATTCATTTTATTTCCCTTTATTTTTCTTTGTACTATCATGTTCCTTTTGGTCGTATGACTCTTGACGTGGCTCGGTATTTGTGCATCCGACTTTCGAGTTTTTGGCGTTCCTAATATGTGTGCGGATGTGCGCTTCTAACGCATAAATTTTGTATTGTGTGATTTTCATTTTGTTTATCCTCGTATTGTATTTTACTTAATTTGTTCTTTTAAATATCGGAAAAGTGTGCATATGTCTTTCTGTATTACTCTTGTATACTAGATTATTTTTACCATCAACTACAAACAATTTTTTTGTTTTCGTCTTTGTTATATTTAATTGTATGTTTGATTGGTTTATTTTATGTAGTTATGTTGTACAAATATATATCTATGATGTATGTTTACATGCACGATATTGCCCTTAAACTCAATTTTGTCTGTTGAGGTTCCTCAAACAGTTTTGTCAATATAACGGAACTACCTACAACTTTCATACAAGTGCCGGGATGTTAAGCTAGCTATAAAACCAATTTTAGCACAACATTTTCTTCGAAATATGCCTTTACCAAGTCAGGAATATGATAGTAAATTATTTTCTGGACGCTCCGTTGTAAATATTGTCGTTTATGGTTTTCAAATTTAGTCAGTTTTAATGTATGTCTCTGTCCGGAGTGTTCTTGCGTTTAGTTGTATGTATTCCTGTCACGTAATGTTGTCATTTTAGTGGTATTTTTAACATTGCCATATAAGCGGGAGGTTTGGCTATCCATAAAACCATGTTCAACCCACCATTTTTTCTTATAATTCGTTAAAACTGGCTCCGTTTGATACCCCTAACAAGTTAGTTCCTAAACTATAAAATTTTCAAATTTTCTCTTTTTTAACATTTTCCTCCTCGCCTCAATATTAATGACAGTTGCTTTTGCGACACATGACCCCAACAGGAAGTAGCGATAAGGTGTATAGATGTTGTGCGAGTAATAGGTTTGTAAAGAATGAAGCTATGTCTTTCATTGATGTGATGCGAAAGTCATGGCATTATCAGTTTGTTTTCGACTTTAATGAGTTTGAATATCCCTTTGGTATTTTTCGCCTCTCTACCCTTCTCAATGTTCAATCTATTGATGGAATGTGCAATGTTTATCTGAAGGATCAATCATGCCAAATACTTGTATATGATAAATATTTGACTGGGCAATATTTTTTTATGAATATGAGTAGCGGCAATGCAGAAACGTTTGTCTTTTTTTATGTCATGCTCCTAAAAATTATTTCGACCGAACAAACTAAAACTTTTAAAAATAATAACAATCTTTGTTTAAAGTATTTGTTAAAATGATAAAAACATTTAACAGCAATCACAGTCAATTTAGAATACAGGGTAAGCGTTTACTACTATGCAAGTATCTCCCGCCATGCGAATTCACACAATTCAACCCATGTATGTCAAAACATTTTTTCCACTTTGCTACGCAAGCATTGTAAACCTTCAGAAGACCAGAGTAATTTATTTTCTTTTAAAAATATATATTGCTTGAAAAAAAATCAACATGTCATTTTCATCTATTGCCTTTTTTATTCTCTAGCAACATCAACTGAATTACCTTTAGAACACTTCTGCTGACCCTAATTCAAAGATCCTTGAATTAGCTATCACATCACCGAAAAAATTAAATCGTATGCTTTTCTTCTCTTTTTAAAATGTCCAGCCAATAGCAATTGCTTCTTTTTAATCTGCAAATTAGCGTCTCATTAGACATCAATTTGCATTTTTTCGGCACATTTGTTCTGATGGTGTAGTAGGTTGATGTTGTGTTCTTAAATTAAGTTAGAATATAATGGTTTTCAAGAAGAAGATTTGACTGATATATCTTTGGACAATCTGGTTCACTGCATAACATGTTAATGACTGTTGTCTTTGGTCACTTTCACAATCACCATTCTGTTCAGAAGATTCCATCTCATCATCTTGAATTTCACCATAATGTCGGACCTGATATTTCTATTACCTGATCTTGATTTTCATCATTTTCGGAAGTTTCTAATCCCTCATCATTTTGTTCACATTTATCTGTTCTTTCACAGTCTTTTTTGGATTAGAAATGTTGCCAACTGTTAAATGTGGTGCACTGAAGCCAGATATTTGTAAATTTGTTCATTGGTCCCTAGTTTTTGAAATTCTTTTTTTGACATTATCTCCAATGTTGTATGCTCTAAAAATCCAGACACCATTGTCTTCAAAGCATGAATTTGTAATTTAATTAATGCCTTTTACATACCTGTCAATCTGGGAA